AACAGGCTTCTAAGAGATAACAACAAAACATAACAAAATAAAATATAGCAAGATAAACTAGAGACTGTCGCATTGATGGACAAGAGCCCGAGAGAAGACACAGGAGTTAGAGACCCACTCATTTGCACACTCCTGAGTTCCATTAACACACGAAATGAAAGCTGATACTCACGCAGGGAACCTTGTGCAGACCTGCCTCCTCGGTTCCTGTGTCACTATCCTTTAAACTGCAATCTTTCCCAGTGTTTGCAGCTTTTCTGTTTGTTCCTGAGCTTTTGGGTTCTCTATCCAATTCTAATCAATGCTTTTTTAAAAAAAAATTGTAATTTAACTGTCTTGTGTGCATCACTTAGTGATATGTGCAGCATTCCTGGGCTCTGTGTGCAGTTTTACATCTTTTGAGTTTTGTAGATATCCCTATCAAAGACTTTTAGATTTCTCCTTTTCTCTATAAATCTTCCTACATTGTTTTCTTCTTTCATTTCTTATGAAGTTCTGTTTAGTTTCCCTCCAGTCAAACTACAAAGGCTTGTTTTTCCTTTCCCTCTTTTCTGCCTTGGATGATCTCCTTGATACTTTCTGGGTTTGGATGCTAAGCCTTCACATTCTACTGCATCCTGAGTGCTCAGTTGTATGTTTTGCCTTCCAGAAGAGGGCCAACAAGCGACAGCATTCAAACGCTTTCTCCTGAGTTACCGATATCTGAGTTACAGCTAACATGCAAGAATGTTTTATAGTAATATACTAAAATGGATATAAGTAATTATTGGTATTCTGTACATGAATATTAGTTCTGTCTCCTATACATAGCATAAATTTTTCTTTATATTATTTACCTAAGATTTTAATTTCATTCAAATGCTTTCAGATTTTAAGTATGTAAATGAAAGAGGGTCATAACTTACAAATTTATCTTTTTGTTGTTGTTGTATTTTTTGAAACTATTTTCTCTGTGTAGCCCTGGCTCTTAAAGAGATCCCCCTATCTCTGACTCCCAAGTGCTAGGATTAAAGAATTGTGCCACTATGCTCCAAAAATGTATCTCTTTTAAATGACAGAACTTAATATCTGTTTAAATAATTGTTGAATATACTCTTTAAAGTCTTCATTTATTTTATGCATTTTTGCAGATTTAAGGAAGTATTAAAAATGACCAAAAAAGAATTAAATGAATATGAAAACAGAGAACTTAATCTTCTTCAAGATATAAAAAGCAATCAACTTGAAATGGATATCCCAGTTAATACACTAATAAAAAAGGTAATTTTAAATCAGTTTTGGGAATGAAAAATAACTTAATTTTAAGTAATATAAATCTCTGGATGCATTGAAGTTTCCGTATTGCTTCATGGACTTGATGTCAATGAAGATTGTATTGTTTTCTGTTAGAAAGTCCTACTGTTGATTCTCACATCTTGAACTCAGGCTGCAATCCATCACTATGTGATCCTAAATCATGAGTAACATGTCTTCTGCATTTATTTATTGGAAGCAGTTTTATTGGAATATAGTTAGCATATCCTGTACTATATTCATAGAATTTTGTGATCCCTTCCACTTCAGGATATTTCTGCTACCCTAAAATAACACCTTTTATCTACATTCGTCTCCTCTGCACAGCCTTAAGATCCACCAAGGCAGCTTTGTCCCTGTGTCTTCCTGTTCTGGCATCCCATGCCAGTCATACAGTGTGTGCTCTGGCTTCTTTGACTTATCGCTGTGTTCAGGGTCCATTTGTGTTGTAGCGAGCATCCGTACACAGTGTCTTCTTGTTGCTGAGCATGCCCAGTTGTATGATGGAACATGCGTTACATTTAGCTTACGTCACTCATCACTTTACTTTGGTTGAGTATTAATAGCATTGCTGTGGAGAAGTGTGCCTTGCATCTATTTTCGTTTTTCCTTGAGTACTTAGGAACCACAGAGTTGTGTGGAAACTGCTAGACTTGAGCAGCTGCCACAAAGTGGCCGCGCTTTGTAACCAGCACTGTTGGGGTTGACAGTTTCTCCATAGCCCCAGGAACACTTCTTTTCCATCGTGTTTACAAGTTTCGGTTATGGCTTTCCTTTGCAGTTTCCTGGGAGTGAAGGAATGGCACGGAGCACGTTTTCTCATGTGACTATTGGCCATGCATGTGTCCTCTCTGGAGAAATGCCTGTTTGAGTGCTTCCCTCACAGATTATCTTCTTGAGGTGGTGGTTGTAAAAATCCTTTATATGTCCTGTTACATACAGATATAACAGATACGGGATGTTCAAGTACTTGCTGTTATCTTGGTAGCTTACATTTCTGATTCCTTGATGGTGTCAAACAAATGTTGATAAAGTCCATTTAATCTAGTTCTTTCCTTTAATATCATATCTAAAAACCTTGGCAAAGCCAGTCACAAGGACCTGTGTTTTTTGCTAAGACTCTTACAGTTTCTTTATGTTTAGCTGTTATGCTCTGGGTTACTGTTTTCCATGGGGGTCTCCACTAATCCAAGCAATGTCTTTGTTGGAAAGACTGTTCACATCACTCTTTATCACACTTGCTGAATCAGCTCACCTCAGATACCTGAGTTGACTTTTAGTCCCTGTTTCCCATGCAGTGATCTACATGTCTCCCCCAGGCCGGTACCAAACCAAGTTGGGTTCTCAAGGGAGAACTTTCCAGTCATGTTCCATATTGCTAGAAACCATAGGTAAAAACAGATGGCAGCATAGTAGAAGGCCTTTAATTTCACTCCAGTGGAAACACTGGTTTTCATCTAGAAGCTTGTGGCCATTTTCTGCCTTGCTGACCCATGACACAATGTGAAGGCAGCCTTGTAAAGATGGGGTCCATTCATTTTCTTAATCTAAACTTTTGGTTTCCTGCCAAGTGCTTCTCCGTTCGCTTCTATTTGTCTCTAACCCTAGGCACAGGATCTGCTGGCTCAGCGTGTTTGCAGTTACTGCACTGTATCTCATTCATCCATCACAATTTCTAAGATCGTCTGTGGACCTGTGCCAACTAGAAAGAAGATTAACCATGAGCTTCCAGCTTTTCTCACTGGAAAGTGAGCTGATTCCAGAGTTCAGATCTGAATTGTGTTTCCTCCCTTCTTTCCTTCCTTCCTTCCCTCTTCCTCCCTTCTTTCTGTTTTTCCTTTAGGATCTTGCCATGTAGCCCAGGCTAGCCTTAAATTCATGGTCCTCCTTCCTCGGTTTCCTGACCCTGGAACTACAGGTGTGTTCCACCAGTTCCAGTTCAACCTCTCTCAGCCTAGTATCTGATTCTTAGGAAAAGCACCAGAACACATCATTTTCTTGGCACAGAAAACAAACTAAAGTTTCATAGCTTATTACAGAATGCAGGAATCTAGCACTGTGGTACACCTCTCGACCCAGAAGCTGAAGCAGAAGAATTGCAGTTCAAAGCCAGCCTAAGCTACGTAACAAAGCATAGTCTCTAAAAAATAGGAACACTAGGATTCGTGAATTTCATAAAAAAGAAATGGTTTTCAGGAGCATAGCACTTAAAAATCAGGTGATATTTAGGCAGTTTACCAAGGACAGATTTCAGAGTAGCCATTTGAGTTTCCAAGCCAGGCTGGTGAATTGGCTTGTGGGTAAAAGGTTTTTTTTTTTTTTTACTAAAAGGTATCTAATAAATAGTAAGCATTCCTTTAAACATCCTAACTACTGGTTTTTTTCATTAATTAATTTATTTATTTACTTTGCATCCCAATTGGAACTTCCCCTCCTTTTACTCCCAGTCCCTCCCTCTCACCTCACCTCTCCCTATGCACCCTCTCTTTCTCCTCAGAGAAGGGAAGATGTTCCGGGGAACTGAGCTGATACCAGAGCTAAGATTTGAATTCTGATATCAACCCACCTTCCTTGCCATATCAAGTTGTACTAGGACTCGTCTTTTTCTAGTGCAGCTAGACAAGGCAGCCCAGTTAGGGGAAAGGGACCCAAAGACAGGCAGCACGGTCAGAGAGAGCCCTGCTCCTGCTGTTAGAGGTCCAACATGAGGATCAGTCAGTACATCTGTTACACTACGTGTGGTGAGACTAGGTCTGTCCTCTGCGTGCTCTCTGGTTGGTGGTTCATTCTCTGTGAGCCCCTTTGTATCCAGCTTAGGTAGTTCTGTAGGTCTTCTTGTGATGTCCTTGACCTCTTTGGCTCCTTCAATCCTTCCTCCCCTTTTCCACAAGATTCCTCGAGCTCTGCGTAATGTTTGCCTGTGGGTCTCTATATCTGTTTTCATCATCTGCTGGGGGAAGCCACTCAGATGACAGTTATGCTAGCCTCCTATCTACAAGTATAGTAGAATATTATTAATAGTGTCAGGTGTGGGCTCTCTGGAGAAACGCTGTTGCTTCGTTAGTTAAAGCACTTGTCTGGTAAAAGGTACTTGCTATCAAACTTGAGGACCATGGGTGAAAAGAGAGAGGCTACTCCCCAGTTGTAACTTTGACCTGTACACACACTAAATAATATAGTAAACAATGTTTAAATTGATTTCAAAGCCAATGTGGAGAAGCATTGTGGTACAGTTAGTAAAGAAGTGTACCAGTCAGAGAATGCTGTGTTTGATTGCACTACTGAGATGAAGAAGGAGTCCATACAGTTCTCTCCGTCACTACAAATGAAGAAAATGAAGATCTAATAGTAGATGGGTCAGAAACACCAAGAGCTTCCTCTTAGAATCAACTAGTTGAAAGCAGGGGAAAGTTGAGGTTTGATTGTTAAAGCATTAGCCATTCTGCTACAGATCATTCCACGGTGCTTCCAAGTCTCCATGTTCCTGAAACTGAAGGGAGATTCTGAGGAAGTACTACATATGTTCCCAAAACTGAAGGGAGATTCCAAGGGAGTACTACGTTATATGAGAATTCACTCTAAGAAAACGAAACAACCAAAGGCAGACTTTGTCTCAACAGTTGCTGCTTCCCACTGGCTGCTGCTTCTGGTCTCTCAGTAGCCTTGCCATGAATCAGCCTCCACACTGTTGGGTCCTCGTTGACAGGAGAATTCCTACCAGAGGTTATTTCTCCTCCTTTTAGGATCAGTTTGTTTGTTTGTTTGTTTGTTTGTCTGTCTGTTTGTCCAGGGTCCGGAGGCCACCTTTCAGTTTTACTGTCCTGGTCTTTGTCTGCACTTCCAAACTGGGTTTCTCCTGAATGCTTCGAGCTCCTGGGTATTCTGTTGGGTATCCTGTCCTTAGAAGAAGCACTTTCACAGACCTTTGAGATGGGCTTCTCTGAGACAGTGCCCTTAGAACACGTAAAGGAATTTGAGGCTCTGCCCTACAGCGTTCCAAAGTCTTGATAAATGGTTGTATAGACATGGTCTTAGCTTCAGTTTTAGATCATGCGTTCCACACACAGTCTGGATTTCTATCTCAGAAGCTTCTTCTAACATCGGTTATCAGTTTGGATGTAGAAAGGCTACAGTTAAGAGAAAGACATTTGAACCCAGTGAATCTTCATTTCCCTTGGTTACATCCCCCCATGTGTGCATCTGTAATCTCTTATTGATTCTGTCACTTGCTATAAAGGAGTAGTTCTCCAAGTTACAGTGTCTTTTTCTTCACGGGCCTATCCACAAGGTTCTCCAAAGATCCCAATGGTTCTTTGGGTTTCTCTTTCTAGGTCGTTTCTGCTTCTTTCTATCTGATCTAAAGGTAGAAAGATACTACACCTTTAAGGGTTTAAAAAGATATCTAGTATCATTATCTATTGCACTTAGTGATATATAATATGCCACTTCAAGATTTAGTGTCTGGAAGCAGCATGTATTTGGTCCACAGTCTGGTGAGTGAGTCTGGCTCATGACGTCAGTTTACTTCTCCACCACATGGCATCATCTGGATGACTTGAAGTTGGGGACCGGTACTAAGGGTACCTCATTCTCATGCCTTCCAGTCAAAGCTGACCTTTGGAGCTTTGGGGGGCCAGGGTTAGCTAGACTACCTACAGAAGGGTTCCCTAAGTAATCATTGTAACTTAAGTAAATAATTCTATTAAAATCCTAGTTACTGTTTAGTGTGTATTATCTTTTTGTTCCAAAAATGGTGGCCGTGTCAGTAAGTTTGTACTGCAAGATGTCACCACTCCTCACCAGAGTCATCACTGAAGTTGTCGGTGCCTGAACAACAGTATTTCCCTAAAGCTTCTCTAGAAGTTATGGGTCATGAAGATAGGGAAACACAGAGTTTTTTGTTTGGGTTAATTTTTTTTTTTAAGTCAGGGTTTCTCTGCCTAGGTCTGCTTTTCCTAGGTTGGCCTTGATCTCACAGATCTACCTGCCTCAGTCTTCCTCTGCTTCTCTGACTCTCTGCCCATGCCCTCTGCCCTCTGCCTCTGCCCCTACCCTTGCCCCTGCCTCCCAAATGAGTGCTGGATTAAAGGAGTGTGCCACTATGCAGATTTTCCAAGATGACTAAGAGTCATTTTGAGAAGGAAAAATAGGAGACATTCACATAAAACAAATCTAACATGAGTGCTCTGGTGTGTAAGAAATAATGATCACGGAGAGTATGCTTTGTGACAGACTAGAAACCTCATTATGAGCCTGGACGTGGAAGCACACGCCTTTAGTCTCAGCACTCAGGAGGCAGAGGCAAGCAGAGCTCTGAGTTCGAGGCCACCCTGGTCTACAGAGTGAGTTCTAGGACAGCCAGGGCTACACAGAGAAACCCTGTCTTGAAAAGATTAAAAAAAAAGAAGAAGAAAAGAAAAAGAAACCTGATTATAAGAGTTACTGCAGGCTATATTTAATCACAACTGAACTTAGGTAGGATTTGTGACTGCTTTATGCTGCTCTGTTCTCAGCTGCCTATTCATCACCAAACTGTAGCGTTTTATTCCTGCAGATTGATGATCTTACAGCAAAACTGGAAACTGCATCTTCAAAATGTCTACATCTGGGTAAAAAAAATCAGCTGCTCCAGCAGGAATTACTCTTGATGAGAAGTATACAAAAGAAGTGTGGGAAACTAGAGAAGAATAAAAAGCAATTGGAGCAGGAGGTGGTGAGCCTCAGAAGTCACATGGAGAAGAACATGGTGGAGCACAGTCAAGTGCAGCAGTATGCGCGGGAGGTCGAAGAGCGGGCGAGGCAGGACTTGGTGGAAAAATTAAAACAGGTCAACCTCTTCTTGCAGGTCAGCTTGTTTCCATGGTGCACTGTGGTTCTCGTGCTGCTGATGCTCTGGGTGCATGCATAGCATGTGTCTCCTCGAGTTTTAGAAGAGGACATATGCTTATTGCTGCGTTAATAAGCAGCATTATTATAACTCAGTGGACCTTTCATTAGAGACTCATTTGACTTTCAAAGCTAGTTTGCAAAAAATACGATTACTAGAAGGGGAACAAATTGACTTATGAAGTACACCAGACTCTTGAGTTACTCTTAAGTCATCTTGTCCAAGCTTTAAATCTTAAGCCGATTGAGTTCTTTAAATTATTAGGTCACATATGTGCCATTCAGAGCTGGGCATACCCCACAGTGGTAAAGTGCTCAGTTAGCATACACCAGGCCCTGGATTTGAGTCCCAGGACTAAATAAACAAAAGAAGATGAAGAAGATTCAGTTTTTTATAATTTCCCGTCAATAAATCCCAACATTGGCATCTGTTTTCACATGTTTCATTCAAGACAAATGAACAATAATGACTCTGGATATAATTGCTTCTAAAGTGTATTCTTTCCATCTGTAGGCTCAAGCAGCATCCCAGGAGAACTTGGAGCAGTTAAGAGAGAACAGTAACGCTTCAGTTAGAAGTCAGATGGAGCTCAGGATCAAAGACCTGGAATCCCAGCTCTACAAAATGAAAGCCCAGGAAGACTTTGATAAAATAGAACTAGAAAAGTATAAGCAGCTCTACCAAGAAGAGTTCAGAGTTAGAAAGTCGCTGTCAAGTAAACTAAACAAGTAAGTCCTGACATTGAGTCTCAGAAGATAAGCTCACGGCTTCATCTCTGCAGCAGCATTTTCAGTGAGACTAGGAGGCTCTAAGAGCCAACTAGACAACACAAGTCTGGAAATAATGTTGTAAGTGACCCTCAAAATGTTAATTTGGGATAGCTTCTAGTCTTTTTTATCCTTCTATCTTATTTAATACAGTCAACTTTAGATAGATATTTTTGAAGCTTTATAGTTAAAAAAGTTATATTATTATAAAATTGCTTATTCATGTTCCCTTAAATAGAACTACTAATAGGTTTGATTGTGTTTTGTTTTGTTTTGTTTTTGGAAGAGGATAACTTAGTCCCAAGGATCAGGTGCTGTAATATTCTCCTCTGAGCAATTTGAGCATTTGATATTTTTATTTTCTTTGATTGCCGCCTGTACTATTTCCACTAGAGGGCTCTCTAAGCTATACTTGACAGGTTTTCTAATCTGTGTCTGTACATCCACGTGTGATGCGGGGAAGCATGAATGTGAGATGGAAGCGTCAGCACAGTGCCTCCTCTCTCAGCTGTGGCTCTGGTCTGAGTTATCCTAGAGTCAGATGCTTAGTTTATCCTGGGTAATGGGAGTGAATGTTACATGTCTCCACTTACATGTCTTCAGGGAGTGAGATATGCTAATACACAGTGACATGTCTGGTGCAGTGAAGCAAACTGATACATCCATCATCTTCCAGTTAACAACACCTAGTACAAGTGTCTCTGATGAGGTGCTCAGGAAGACGAGAAGCAGGGCCCTTCCAGAGGCAGCATGGTTACTAGTGAAGCTGCCCATTGCAACAGCCATGTCTCTCCCTCCTACTTTGCTGGAATTTCCCATTAGTTAAGATTCCCTCTACCATACCTGTACTTTTTAGAATAACTTTAAACCTGTAATACTCAGGAGTTACATTCTGACAGGTTTCTTAGGCTGAGTCGCTGTTCAGTTGCAAATTCCTTGTATTTACATGGCAGCTTCTAGACAGCCTTGACTTAGGGTTTATTTGGGACCCTGGAGATACTAAGTGTTTGCCTTCTGTGGTCTTCACAGGACTAGTGAGAAGCTGGAGGAGGCCAGCACCAAGCTGCTCCTGGAGGAGCAGCAGAACAGGTCTTTGCTGAACACTCTAAGTACAAGGCCTGTTGTAGAGTGTCCTTGTGTTGGAAGTCTTCATAATAGTTTGGTATTCAACAGAACTCTTATTCCAAGAGAAAACATAGTGGTTCCTACCTCAGGCCTACAGCCATCAAATAAAAGAGTGGAGATCTACCTGACCAAGGTTAGTGTATTTCTTTTTTCCTTTGGGTTTCAAGTTTCTGATAACATTCTCACTTTTACTCTAATACATGATGCTGAGTTGCTTTGTTTGGCCAATGCATACTGTCATAGTAACTTATGCTAAAGGAGAAAAAATTATTAAAGTTTCTAGGGTTCTCGTTTCAGTAGGTACTCACTATTGCTTGGTTCAGCGATGGTAGCTAAACCAGTACATTTCTTTAAAAGCTGTGCTTAAGTTGCATTTTGGAAAATAAATACAGGACTAAAGATACAGCTTGGGACATCATGGCACACCTTCTAAAGACAGTTATCCCGCAGAGTCTCAAGTTTTCCATTCTAGCGACAAGAGAATGACTGGCATCCGGACACCTGCATGTAGATATGTATCACTTAGAGGGATCTGATACGGATACTGTTGTTAAGTGAGTAAATGTCTTGGGTTTAGGCATTGAGCTCAGTGGTAGAAAGGCCCTGGGTTCGGTCCTCAGCTCCAGGAGAATAAAAAAAAGATGTGTATCATTGCATAAGATTAATTTCCGAGTTAAAAACTTTCCACTTTGTTAACCATTATAAATATTCGTCTCATTTCAGATGCATCAAGAGTTGGAAAAAAGTATAAACAGAGAACTTAAAGAAGGTATGTGTCAAAATTTATGAATTAAGGTTAGATTGACTAATTTTTTAAAATAAATTATAAATATTAAATGGCATCATTTTCCTTGTTTGATGAATAGATTTTACAGTAAGCATTGTCTTATACAAAATTAAAGATGTGAAGGTATTTCCTTTAGGGTTTAATTCAGCAAATGTTTTTGTCATTTAAGAGCTTCATATCTAAGTACACTGCATTAGTGTCTTTTCCACATTGACCCTGCCTCCAGCTCCACCCGTGTTCTCCGTCCACTCCCCTCAAATGTATGGCCTCCTCTTCTTATATGTACAACTTGTAGACCCAGTTAGCATTGCCCTTACTTGCCTGTGCTCACTTAGGAACAAGGTCTCATCCTTGAAAGACTGTTCTCCCTCTCCCAGCGGCCATCACCTGCCTCTAGCTCTTCATCTCAGGGTAGGGCTGCCTCATGTAGGATTTCTGTTGCTGTGAGTAAGAACATGACCAAAAGCAGCTTGGGGAGGTAAGGGGCTATTTCATCTTACAGTTCTGTCGCTGAAGGAAATCAAGTTAGGAACCAGGAGTGAGGAACTGTACAGGCCATGGATGAAGGCCACCTACTGACTTGATCCTCATGGCTGTTCATCCTTCATTCTTTCTTTCTTTCTTTTTTGTTTTTTGTGAGACAAGGTTTCTCTGTGTAACCCTAGCTGTCCTGGAACTCACTCTGTAGATCAGACTGGCCTCGAACTCAGAGATCCGCCTGCCTCTGCCTCCCAAGTGCTGGGATTAAAGGTATGTGCCACCACTGCCTGGCTCATCCCTCTTTCTTATACAATTCAAAGCCACTTGCTCAAGGGTGGCACCACCTCAGTGAGCGGGGCCCTCCCACATCAGTCAGTAATCAAGAAGACGCCCACACACTTGCCTACAGGCAATCTGATGGAGGCTTTTTTTTTCCAATCAAAGATTCCTCTTTTAGATAAATTGTGTTATTTTGATACCACCACACACACACATCCATAAAAGAGTACAGGCTTTGGATTTTACCTCCATCCTGTAGGTATGCAGATTGATGGGGTCTTTGGAGAGAACATGGAAGAAGCCATACTGTTGGGAGTTGATGGTTCTGTTCCATGGTGTGTCCCGAGCAGACGGGAGGCTTGTGATAGAGGTGTTCTGTTTGCTGATAGGCACCACACAGTCACTTATTCTTTGATTTTGACCAGTGCGGGTCTCTGTAATGGTCTCCGTGGGATGACAGATGAGAGCTACACATATCTAAGGGCAAGAAGAACTAGAAATTTAGATGGCACATGAAAACTCTCACCTTAATAACATGATAGTAGTGGGTTCTCCTCTAAGGTCTGAGACCGGTCCAGCCACAACTTCTTGGCTAGGATTACAATATCAGGTATAAATTCCCTCCAGTTGAATGGGCTTTAGGTTCAGTTAGACACTGTTGGTTTCCCCCAAGGTACAAGGGCCACTGTTGCACTGTTGGGGTATCTTGCCTGTCCAGTTGTGGTTCCCAGGCTCAGGTAGGGTTAACTTCCTCCCTTGGCAGCTTATCCCATACCTTCTGACACTGCGTGCTGGCCCCTGGGAGGAGCTCTCTGGTCAGATCCAGCTCGAGTCTTTGTAGTCCTTGTCCCAAAGTTCAGTGTCTTTGGCAATAGGAGTTTACCACCAATCTCCAACAGGTAACCTCGGGCTCTAGCAGTGGTCTGTATTGTTGCGGGAGTCACCTGGTACCCTAACCAGCCGTTCAAAAAGATTCTCATGACTGTTACTAAAGTTTTTGTTAATTCATGGTTCTTGTCAGGAGTGTGATAGCGTAAGTGGCATAACTTCCTTTAAGATTTCATTCACAAATCTTTATACACACACACACACACACACACACACACACACACACACACACACACATCCCACTCTTTAGAAGTATAGAATAATACGGTTCCCTGGGGCAATAGCACACAACCTGGTGTTTGTCCCTCTTCCTTTCTTCTCCTTCTGAATTGCCTTCTTTCTTCTCAGAGTGGAGCCCCTCCTCCAGTGTTCCACTTCCTACTTCCTGGGGCCTGCATCCTGCTGTTCTCCTCCCAGCTGTCCCCTCCAACCTGTGCTCCCCTTGCACTTCTCTGGGTTTTGGTTCCTTTGTTGAAAACTGTTTAGATCCATAGTTCATTTTTAATTGGGTTATTGGTTTTCTTGATTCTTTGGTATTTATATATTCTGAATATTAATCCTCTATCAGCTATATACTAAGATTCTTTTCCATTCCAGAGGTTTCCTCTTTACCTGATTGTTTCCATTCCTGTATGGAAGCCTTTTGGGTCTATGAGGCCCACTCAGTCAGTTGTGCTGAGCAAATGGAATCCTACGCAGAAAGTTCTTTCTCAGGTTTCTCACTGACGTCTTACCCATTTGGAGCTGGTGTTGTGCAGGGGGATACCGAAGAGTCTAGTTTCATTCCACGTGTGGACATCAGCTTTCCCCACACCATTTGTTAAAGAGCTTTTCTTTCCTCCAGTGTGTAGTTTTGGAATCTTGTCAAATATCAGGCAGCTATGACTACATGGTCTTATGACATGGTTCCCGGCGTTCTGCTGCACTGCAGTGCCTGTTTGTGTGCTGGGGCCATGCTGTTTTTCAGTACCTTAGCCCTGTGATGTAACCGCTACATGATTGTCAGGAGTGGATCGTATTGTCTCATCTTGTCCTTCCTGTGCTTGTTACTGTAGCTTTGCCCATGATTGTTGAATAAATGAGTCAACACAGACACTTTGGTATTCACGATGATAATTAAGTATGCACCTGCAAACAAGTTAAATCTAGTCATGATTGTGCATGGCAGTTACATGTGCATATTACCGTTCAGTTTCAGCTCTTCTGACGTGCGCTTCGTTAACTGTGAACTAACTCTTTGATATATTTATCTCCCTTTCTTTCCAGCTACTGCTGAACTTGAATCTGAGTTCTGCAGAGTTTCTCCCCTTGGATCTGCTACTAAACCAAGCCAAGATCTACTCTCAGAAGCATCACAAGAATATATAGACATTTTAAAGAAAAAATATATGATCTGCTGAATTTAAAAGAGAAAAAGGAAGGAAAGGCGTGAAAGTAGAAGTGGGACTGTCTGGGAGAAGGACCAAAGGGAGAGAGGACCGGAGCAGATAAAGGGGTGTACGCCGTGTGTGTGTGTGTGTGTGTGTGTGTGTGTGTGTGTGTGTGTGTCTGAAATGTCTCAACAGCCTGGGTATGGTGGCACGTGTCTTTGACTCTAGCACCTGGGAAGCAGAGGCTGGTAGATCTCTGAATTCAAGGACAATCAGAGCTACGTGTCTCACACAGAAAAATAAAGTCATAATGAAACCTGCTATTTTATACAAATAATACACATTAATATATATGATCTAAAATATGATATTGTGGGCTGGAGAGGTGGCTCAGCAGTTTAAGAGCACTGGGCTCTTCCATAGGTCCTGAGTTCAATTCCCAGCAACCACATGGTTGCTCACAACCATCTATAGTGGGATCTGGTGCCCTCTTCTGGCTGCAGGGTTATGTGCAGATAGAGCTCATATACATAAATAAATCTTTAAAAAAGAAAACAAAGATATAAACATTTATAAAAATAAAACATTGTATTTATTAGACTGTCCATATATTTTAATCATATTAACTGTATGACTTGAAAACACAAGTGAGAAAAACTTTTTTGTCATATGTATTAGAAATTAACATATTTACCAGGGGTTTTTTTGGTGGTCCTAAACAGATTTTGCAAGTATTATTAGAACAGTATTACAAACTTTTACATATGAAAACACCTAACGCAGGTTGTCTAAACAACCAAGTTATTATGAATACATTGGTGGGATGAAATACCATCTTCGTATTTATATTTTTCTATTTTTATTACTATGCATGTGCCAAAAGATGTAGCCAGACATCAGTTCAGTATGCTGCTGCCTTAGCCAGTGTTAATGTTTTAACATATCACAGCCATAGTATCTCCATCAAACTTGAATTTAATTTTAAGCATTGGTAGTGCTTGATCCTGTGGAAAAGCACAGTTACCTAAGGCTTCTCAGTTCTTGTGTTTATTCATTTACTTGTTCATCCTTAAGAGTTTTTTTAAGCCATAAAATTAGAGAGTTCAAATAATTCTACTGCTCTCTTCTGAGCCGTTTGAGAGAGCCTTGCCTCCATCCATCGTCACCCTTGGCTATGTTAGTATCTTTTGGAATTAACAACACTCTAAGTAACTGTAGTGTTGCCTTTGTATTAAGAAGGCGAACACTGATAGATCCTGAAGTTTAATCCTCAGATTCCTTTCCAGTTTGGCTTCTTATCTGCAGTGTCCTTTAAAGTCTGGTCCCGTTCAGACTAATGGGTCCCACTTACTTACAGTTCTCAGACTCCTTCAGTCTGGAGCATCATTCAGTCTTTCCTTGACTGTCACAACCTTAAATCTTCAAGGAACAGTTTGTGTAGTATGTCCTTGAATTGAATTTTCTGTTTCATTATGATTAAATCATGCATCCTTGGCATAAGTATTACAGAAGTAATTTTTCTCATTTAATCCTATTATGTGATCTATAATATAGATTTTTCTGTTATTATGATGTTGATATTGATCACTAGAACAATTACCTACTTTTTTCCTGTATTTATTTACTTTTGTGATAATTGTTTTGTGGAGCGACAATTTGTGACTGTAAATATGTTTCTTATCAAACTGACAATATATTCATTTACTAGTATTCATATAGATTAATGGTTCTCCATTTTATTTAATGACATATAAGTTGTTAATAACAAATTATTTTTGTATTTAAATAAATTAAATTTTTGAGAATTTCACATATGAATCCTTTATTTACACCATTTCCACCCTTTTCTCTCCCCTTCAGCTCATCCTATGTCCTTCCCAACTCCCTCTCAACTTCATGGCCTCTTTGATGTGTGTGTGTGTGTGTGTGTGTGTGTGTCTGTGTCTGTGTCTGTGTCTGTCTGTGTGTGTGTGTGTCTGTGTGTGTGTGTGTGTCTGTCTGTCTGTGTGTGTGTGTCTGTGTGTGTGTGTGTGGAGTCTATTTAGTATTATTTCTGTGTCTTTGTGTTCAGGAGCTTATAAATGCCTTATTTTGATAATTGGACCACTATAGAAACATTTTATGAATAGTACAAAGAAATCTTGCTTATCACCATTTGTTCCCTAAATGTAAACATTTGTTTTTATCCTTCCTCTTCTCTCCCTCCTTCAAAATAAATGCAAATAAATGGATATAAAAGAACAGTGTCCCTTGTGAGTTGCAGACATGACACATTTATTCCTAAATACATATCTCCTAAAAACAAGAGGCTGTCATTATGTACCTGTAGTGGAATAACCTAGCTTAGGAAGATCAATATCTAACCTACAAACCATTTTTAACAGTTATCTCAAAATGTCCTTTTTATAGAGAGAAAATTCAAAGTGAGACTTTGTGCCAACCTTCTCTGTTCTGGGATATTTGTCTGGCTAGAGCTTGCAAAAGTCTTGTAGTATGCTGGCACAGTTGCCCTGTTGTGTAGGCTGTAGCATGCTGGCACAGTTGCCCTGTTGTGTAGGCTGTAGCATGCTGGCACAGTTGCCCTGTTGTGTAGGGTGTAGCATGCT